GGAGCCCGATGCGGAGCTCGATCCCAGGACCCTGGGATCATGACCTGAGCCGAAGGCAGACGCTTAACGACTGAGCCACCCAGGTGCCCCAAAAAGAGTGCCTGTTTAATTTCAAAAGTTATGCACGTTGTTGGTAAGGATATAAAATGGTATAGCTGCTTTGGAAGACAGTTTGGCAGGTCTTTGAAATGTTAAATATAAGAGTTATCATCTGACCCAGCAATCCCATTCCTAGGGCTACTCCCAAGAGAAATGACATGTCCACACAAACATCTGCACATGAATGTTCATAGCAGCATTATTCATAATAGCCAAAAGGTGAAAACAACACATATCTCCATCAACCAATGAATGGATAAATAAAATAATGTAGCCATATAACATTACTCAGCAATAAAAGGAACAAAGCATTGATTCATACTACAACATAGCTGAACCTTAAAAACATTATATTAGTGAAAGAAGCCAGTTACAAAAGTCCATATGTTATATGATTCAATTTATATGAAATGTCCAGAATAGGTAAATCCACAGAGACACAAAGTAGATTAGTGGTTGCCTCGGGCTGGGAGTGGTGGTGGTAAGGAATGAGGTGTGACTGCTGATTGGTACAGTGTTTCTTTCTGGGGTGATAAAATGTCCCGAAATCCAATTGTGGTTGTATAACCCTGAAGATACTTAAAACTATTGGAAGTGTACACTTTAAGTGGGTGAATTGTATGGCATGTGAATCATATCTCAATAAACCTATCTTTAAAAGTTACAGTCAGTGAAATAATTGAAACAATACAGAGTTTATAAAATTAAAAATGAAAGAAGCTCAAGAAAATGAGATGACAATCCACAGACTGGGAGAAAATATTTGCAGAGGATGTGTCTGATAAAGGACTATTGTCCAAAACAGACAATTCTTGAAATGCAACAATAAGAAAGAAACAACCCAATTGAAAAATGGGCCATAGATCTGAACAGATACCTCACCAAGGAAGATATGTGGATGGCAAATCGCATAAGAATTGTTCAACATCATATGTGATTAGGAAATTGCAAATTAAGACAACAATGAGATACACTACATACCTACAAATTGGCAAAAAATCCAAATCCGAATGCTAGTGAGGATATGGAATGAAAAGAACCTTCATTCATTGCTGGTGGGGATGCCAAATAGTATAGCCACTTTGGAAGGCATTTTGGTAGTTTCTTACAAAACTAAACACACTCTTGCTATATGATCTAGTGATCAAGCTCCTTAATATCTACCCAAGTGAGTTGGAAACATATCTGCACAAAAAGCTACATCAAGATGTTTATAGCAGCTTTACTCATAATTGCCAAACTTGGAAGCAACCAATCTGTCCTTCAGTAGGTAAATGGATAAATCAACTGTGGCACATCCAGACAATGGAATATTATTCAGCACTAAAAGAAATGAGCTGTCAAGCCATGAAAAGACCTAAATGAACCATAAACACATAGAATAAGTGAAAGAAGCCAATCTGAAATTGGCCAGTCATACATACTGTATGATTCCTACCATACACCATTCTGGAAAATGCAAAATTATGGAGACAGTAAAAAGGGAGTGGGATTAAGGGGGCAAGTGGGATGAATAGGTGGAGCACAGAGGATTTTTAGGACAGAGAAAATACTCTGTACAATACTATCATAGTAGATACATGTCCTTACATATTTGTCTAAACCTTTGAATGTACACCACCAGAAGTGAACCCTAACATAATCTATGGACTTTGGGTGACTTTGATGTGTCAGTGTAGGTTCACTGATTGTAACAATGTACTGCGCTAGTGGGGGATGTTGCTAGTGGGGAAGGCTGTGCATATGTGGGGGGCAGGGGGAACATGGGAACTCTGTACTTTCTGCTCAGTCTCCCTGTGAACCTAAAACGGCTCTAAAACTTAAGTCTATTAAAAAAGATGTGAATTCAATGGCCAAGTTTTAATAAACTTAGAGATTTACTGCTTCATCAAGGACTTTCTTAAGTGAAAGTGGCACAGTGGTGAAGAACATAATTCCTAGTGTTAGGAGTTAGTTGGACAATTAAGTAGTCAGGGCCAGGGTCCCCAACAAGAAAACAGGGAGCTGGGACAGCTAAGACAAAACTGCACCAGCATCCTGTTTTACAGCTTAGACAAGACCACAATAGCATCCTGTCTAGTAGCCTCTGCAGAAGTGACTTTTGCAAAACATCCTGAAACAAAACACTGAAACATAAAATATTTGTCACTATCACAAATTGAGGCAGTTAGTCTCCAAATGTCAGCCCAAAGGACCTAACCCGATAGGTAGATGGGAGCATGATCAAAGCCCCGACTGGCACACCTTAGCAGCCAATCCACAGGGGACCCACACTCCGGATGCTCAAGATAGTTCTGCAAAAGAGCTTACAAAAACCCCTAGATTCGAACGTCAAGATGGCAACCATCTCGGGTCCCCTCCCTATTTGGGAGCTTTGTACTACTGCTCAATAAACTTTGCCTTGCTACTACCCACCACTCTTTGGTCTTCATCTTCATTCTTCAAAGCACCATAACCAAGAACCTCGGGCAGTAAGGGAAAAAATTCCTGTAACATTAGTACAGGTGGGTGCCACTTTTCTTCTTGTTTGAAAGTTTATTTACTTAGGGACGCCTGGGTGGCTCAGTCGGTTGAGCGTCTGCCTTCGGCTCGGGTCATGATCCCAGGGTCCTGGGATCGAGCCCCGCAGCAGGCTCCTTGCTCCGCGGGAGGCCTCCTTCTCCCTCTCCCACTTCCCCTGCTGTGTTCCCTCTTTCACTGTGTCTCTGTCAAATAAATAAATTTTTAAAAATCTAAAAAAAAAAAAGTTTATTTATTTAAGTAATCTCTACACCCAACGTGGGGCTCAAACTCACAACCCCAAGATCAAGAGCCGCATGCTCCTCCAACAGAACTAGCCAGGTGCCCCCATTGCCACTTTCTGGATTCACGCTAAGGGCCACCCTTGTTTTGGCATTATCAGTGCAAATGTCAACATAGTGAAAAAGGCAAATGACATCTCAGTATTATTATGAAAATAACCATGAGCCCTCTGAAAGGGTCACCAGAATATACTTCAACAACTGCTGCCTTATTCATTTTTCTATGGGTTGTCTAGTTTTTTCTTACTGATTTAGGAAGTCTTTTTTTTAAAATTCAGATTAGCCCTAGCATTCATTCCACATATGGTGGAAATACCACTTATTTTTTTTTAAGATTTTTAAAAATTTTATTTATTTCTTTATTTACTTATTGAGAGAGACAGAGAGAGTACAAGTGGAGGGAGGAGCAGGGGGAGAAGGAGAGAGAGAATCTCAAGCAGACTCCCCACTGAGTGCAGAGCCTGATGAGCGGTTCAATCTGACAACCCTGAGATCATGACCTGAGCCGAAATCAAGAGTCTGACGCTTAACTGACTGAGCCACCCAGGTGCCCCTGGAAATACCATTTATGTGTGGGGAAGGAGTTGGGGAAATATATGTATATATAGCTGAATGTAACTAATGGTCTTTTCCTGTTTGGATTTTGCTCCTCCTCCTCCTCCTCCCCCACTCCCCCACTTCTTCTTCTCTTAATGCTTAGTAAGTTCTTCTCATACTGATTTGAATAAATATTTGATATTCACCTTCACGTTTTCTAAAGGTTTGATCATTTTACCTTTTCCTTTTGATTATTTAAGCCTTTAAAATCTTTTTACTCAACAAATATGTGTTCAGGGGCGCCTGGGTGGCTCAGTCATTAGGCATCTGCCTTCGGCTCAGGTCATGATCCTGGGGATCTGGGATCAAGCCCCGCATTGGCCTCCCCGCTCTGCGGGAAGCCTGCTTCTCCCTCTCCCACTCCCCCTGCTTGTGTTCCCTCTCTCGCTGTGTCTCTCTCTGTCAAATAAATAAAATCTTTAAAAAAACAAAACAAAACAAATATGTGTTCGGTGACTGCTATTAACATGGTACCATGAACTTGGGAACTTCAGTGAACAAAACAAAGATCCTGTCCTCCAAGAGTCCACATGTTAGAGGCAGTGGAGGAGACATGATAGAAACAGATACAAGTAACTAACGTATAATTTGTTTAAAGGTTATCTGGGGGAGGGGCACCTGGGTGGCTTAGTCAGTTCTGCCTTCTCCTCAGGTCATGATCCCAGGGTCCTGGGATCGAGTCCCACATCGGGCTTCCAGCTCAGTGGGGAGTCTGTTTCTTCCTCTGCCCCTCCCCCTGCTTGTGACCTCTCTCACA